AATTTTAATCAGGATTTTAATAAAAAATCTAGTCGTTAACTATCAAATCAGTCACCATTTTTTACCTTCCCTCTCACAGGTGGAGCCCACGGGTTGACTTTAACGGCTATAATTTTGATTAAAATCCCACAAAAATTTCTCTCAAACACACTCTAAATCTTTTCAAGATGATCCATATGCAGAAATTGATGAGTATAACATGATTATGAGGATTACATCGCCGTGCAAGGGATGTGAGCTGCAAAAGTTTGAATGAGCCAAATAACATGATTATGAAGGATGAAATCGTGCAAAAGTTGGAGGCCAAAATAAATTCGAATGATCCAAACAACACACAAAATGATGCTTTAATTAGACTTGCATACACTACATTTCATTCATGCATAGGACTGATATGTATATATCAAAAACTTGGAAAATCAAATTGGTCGATTGGCTAAAGTGATCGATCTCATAGGCAATCCAACGAAACAACTGAAAAAGAAGAGCGTGTAGAGATGAAGAAACTAATCATGATGGAGCCAAATAAATTTGTGACATTCGATGAGTATGGTATTAGCATGCAAGGGTTATGCTACATGTACACCCTCTTTTTTACATAATCTTTTACCTACACTCACAATAGGATATGAGGACCACACATTTGGGAGTTTTTTATTCACGCGTGCCCTGCGCGCATGTGAGAGGGTAACACATTTTCGATAATCTTCATTCGGTACAAATAGAATTATCCTAGCATGCAATCATCCAAATTCATTGATTTATGATTAAGCAAGTCATATGATATTGTTAAAGGCGAAGTAGGAGCTTCGGGGTACGAAGTTTGCCTTTTTATGTTATATTTGTTGATCACACGACTTTTTCAAAGATTTGAAATGCGACTTCTTTCGATATCGCTACTGGAGAGAACAACACATCGCAGACCTAAAGAGTGAATACCTTGCATATATCCGTGGAAAAAAAGTAGCTCTCATTCGTCTCTCTCTGCAGTTTTCTACACAACTCCGAGGATCTGATGGATCGTGCACAGTTGCTATTGGTGGGGCTACCCCTCTTCCTCTTCTGCTCAGACATCGTCAGCCTCTTTTCTCCGCCGCCTGCTAAACCCGCCACCAACCCCCACCACCACCATCACCACCACCAGTCAAATTCCCCGCCACTGATCCAACAACAGCAACAGCGGTCGTCCCTTGAGTTCCCGTCTCAGGTCAGAAGATGCTTCAATTAGAATAAAATCAGTTCTTACCTGTTACCAGATTTATTCTGGATTGCCTTTTTCGTTTTTTTTTTTAATATATGTGTTTTGCAGAAATCTAGTGGCAGTGGCGTTGGAAATACTGTCAAAATTGACTTCTGTTCCTCTTGTTCTTACAGGTATTCTGTATCTTTCTTATTGGCGTTGTTTCATATTATATTTGTTTTTTGTCAATTTTTATTTTTTCTTTACTTTCTTCATAGTACTGTGTGTCGATTGGATTATAAGTTATCTTACTTTTATAGACTCTTGATTTTCGACTCATTAATTATATAAGATGGAGTTTTTGGTCATTGATTGAGAGGTATTTTTGAGCATTTATTGATTTCCCTATCAACTATTGTTAACATACAAACAATATAAGCAGGCAAACAAATGCTTGTAATAAACTGTAATTCATCTTTAAAATTCATCATAAAACAAATTAGTAAAATTTAAAGTCTAACTTGCAAACAGATATAAAATAGACCAATATGGTAAATAGTAAGTTCTCATAGTAGTTGTATAGGGTTAAATGCAATGGGTTACCCTACTTTGAGTGAGGTGCGTCTAGGTCACCCTTTTTGAGCATATTATTGGTAACAGAACTGTTTTTGGCTCAATGGTAAAATGTTTGCTCTAGGACAAAAAGAAAAGGAAAAAAGGGTGAATTTTTGGCATAGATCAATAATTATTTCGGAGCAAGATATTGGTTTCATTAACTACTTTTTTTGGTTCAGAATTGAAACTTGTGCTCTAGGATCATGATTATTCATATTCGCAAAAAGAAGTGGAAAAAAAATATGCAGTTAATGCAAAGTGCTTGACAGGGAAAATGACGGCAAGAAAACAAGACTGAGATTACCAAAAAAAAATTAGAATTTAAGCATATCAGAAGTTTCTACAGCATAGCATATATTTGTCTTTTTATCTGTATTTGGTACATTAATGCCATTTTGATTTTGGCAGAGGATCTGCAGTGACGATGAAGAATATGTTAGAAACTCAGTTTCCTGGCATCAATGTCGTTCTTGCAAATTACCCTCCTCCATTTCCAAAACGCTTGTTAAGCAAACTGGTACCAATTGTTCAATTTGGAATGATTGGTATTATAGTGGCTGGTGAACAAATTTTTCCAAGGTTGGGCTTTGCTGTGCCACCTCCCTGGTACTATTCTCTGCGTGCAAATAAATTTGGAAGTATGGCAAGCACTTGGCTACTTGGAAATTTCATTCAATCCTTTCTGCAGAGTTCTGGGGCATTTGAAGTATACTCTAATGGTGAATTGGTAATGTTCTTTTCTCTTTCAGAAGTGACATCTTTAACTCATTTGATCATTTCTCCTTTTATGTGTTTTTGCTAATATATTTCTCCATATCCTCGCTGATTTTGTGATCTTACTCTGGAAATATGTGCTTTTACTGGAAACTGATGTTACTCAGACCTTGTTTGAGAAAATGTAGTTTTGAGAAAATTGAGTTTTGAATAGTGATTTTTGTGGAGAATGTGTGGGTAGGAAAATTTTGGGTGTACTTGCATAATATTTTTTTGTGTAAATGTGTGGTTGAAAATGAGTATGAGAATTAAAGAATCTTGAAATAATGGTTGTCAAACAAGGGCTTAATGTGGCATGAGTGAGATGTTAGCTGATATCAGTAGCTGAAACTGATGTTAAGAAGGTAGTACAAAGGAAAAGGAAAAGTTAGAGAAATGTTGGCGTGATCTAAATTTAGGACGTGTTCGGTAGATATTAAAATTGGATTAAAATTGAAAAACTAGCCGTTATGGTTGACTTTTATTAGACGAATGAGACTCAATAACGGCTATATTTTCAATTTTAATTTGATTTTAAGTTGTACCAAACAAGCTTTTAATCTTTTCCTACAACTACGAGGATGTTTGGCCCTCTATCCAATTAACATATTTCTGCACCATGATCGGAATACAAGAGTCTACACTGGGGGCTTGTCAGTCCACAACCTAGATATTTACAGACACCTTCATGGCAAGTGTGCTTTTTATCTTTGCACGAGTATACGCTGATGTCTTTGTGAGTCCATTAGCGAAATACGTATATACCTTTGTGGGAGCTGCTTTTTATTTTAATCCTTGGAAAATGGCAACCAAGAAGTCTGGTGTGTAACTACTATTAAGTGTATTTACTTTTCTCTTTGGGGTGTTGTTGCTTTTATATCTTTATCTTGCTTGTACATAGAATAGCTGCATTGCATTTCCACTCAATCCAATCCAATCCCCTCTGCCTATATAATCATTGCTGTGTGCATCAATGTATTTAAGCAATTCATTATTGCTGATCCTGAATCCTTTCGGCTTTATATATTCATGTGCCCAACATGTTCATGTTCACTAAGAGGATATGCTTGATTTCATTATCGCATTGAAACCAGTATGCTTGTGGAATATTGTAGGGGGAAAGATGTAAAAGTCTATTTGCTTTTCCTATCAAGCCTAGTATATAGTGCGTTATTTGATTTTTGTCCTATTATATCTGTAACCCTTTCTTTGTTTGGTGTAGGTGTTCTCCAAACTCAAGGAGAACAGATTCCCCGGGGAAATCGAGTTGAAAGACCTTATTGGGAGAAGGGTTGCTAATTCAAGAGTGATAGATGGTGAATTCTGGTCCTGAAAGGAAGGGTATAATAGTTAAGTGGGGAGTATGTTTCTTGGATTTCTAGTTTTAGTTTCACATTTAAATGTAGTGCTGTGATTTTATTTTAACATGCTAAAATACAGTTTCTTGAAAAATAAATTATAACATCTGCTGAATTTCATTCCTATATAGTGATGCACTGATGCTAGCTATGTGAATTTCATTTTGTGGGGCCAAAAACTCAATACAAGCCAGACTAAATATGCCTAAATTGAACTCTTACACGTTGCAGTTTACTTATTGGATATTTTATTAATTTATATGTTTTTGTGATGTGTTATTAATATTTTTTGGGTAAAAAAACGTGTTTAAATTACCAGATCAAACTCAAATATATCCAATGTTCAATTTTCTAGCTGAATTAAGTTGATTTAATATCTCTAGTGTGTTAAGAATATATATAGGCGTCAATAATTTAGTTGGATTTATTAAACGAAGCAATAACAATTTTATATCATAAATATGGGGCACAAAACGAAGCACACCGACGAATAAAATCTTTGTATCACTTAATTTGAGGCCAAAAAAAAAAGAAATGAATTTGGCTATTTGTATATCAAGTTTTACAATTTGGTGTATAGTCTCCTCACAATATGAGGGTTTGCACCCAATAAAAAAAGAATCATACTAGTGTTACAGCATTGGTTTACAGTTTTTTTCACAGTCCCCTCACATCGGTTGCCCCACCCTCACATGAGGGGGCTGTGAAAAAAACTGTAAGCCAAAGTTGTACATACAGTTTTATTGATAATAAAAAAAAAGCGCTGGCCCCCTATTGTGAGGGGACCATACACCAAGATGTAACATGTAGCATCTCTTAAAGAAAATTTAATCAACTTTCTTACTTTTCTATTTGAATTAAGTGCAAGTTTGAGCTTCATTTTTTTTTAAAATACATTTTAGAATAATGTTTTATTGGAGAATGATTAAAAAATGAGGAAAAATTTTGAATTTACATGTAATATTATTTTATTGAAAATTCTGTTGTTGAAAATAAGAGTGGGAATATATTTTGAAAATAATGGTACCAATTACCAAGCAAGGGGTAAATATGTACGGCTGGAAATACGTATTTAAATTCATAATTAATTTCAATATGTAATAAAACCAAGATGGGGATGTAGCTCAGATGGTAGAGCGCTCGCTTAGCATGCGAGAGGTACGGGGATCGATACCCCGCATCTCCACAATTTTTGCTTTTATTTTTCTGTACATTCTGGCAGTTGGGCTTCTGAAATTTTCTTCTCCACGCAGCCCATCACCTTGACTAAAGTTATCTATTTTATCTTTTTGCAGTTATTAGTAAATAAATTTCACATAATCCTCTCGATTGACATCCTATGCCAACTTTGTTCTGCTATAGTTCTTAAACAAGATTTCAACACAATATGTGTTTGCCATTACGAATTTACGAGTGAACTTGTGCATATATGCATGCTAATACTTTTGGAATATACATCTGCAGCCTGCAGGAAGCAATCTTCTTTCCCGCCATGAACCCACAACAGGGGACTTGATTCTATAGTAAGTTATTAATTGTGAATTCCATTATCATTTTGTTTATGCCTCAAGTACAGAAACTTCATTTAGAGATTCAGCTAATGAACTTTAGAAATAGCTTTCTACTTCGAGATGGAAGTGTGCACAGCTTAGTTAATACTATCAACTAAGTTTACGGTAATTTATCGCAAACTACGTGCTCTACATCATCTGTTCAAAGTCTCAGAATGCTCGGTATTTGAATAGCATTGCAGGTATCATGACAAAAGGCACATTAGATTGTCAGTGGCTAAGTCTTTCTTGAAAGAACCACGCTTGGTGTACAATCATTAGAAGATTAATTAGCGGGTCCACACTATTGTGAGAGATTGTAATTTTTAGAATCCCTTAATGATTGTACAAATGGATTCTTCCTTCTTGAAACTAGAAAGTGATTTGGAACAACAGAAAATTCCTATTTTTATGTGAAGCTCGAATGTCATGATTCTTGTTGGCAAAATAACAGAACATAAATACTCTCCATTTGAACTCAAAAACAACTATTTGCATAATGAAACTGAAAGAACCTTTAGAATGTAGATAATTCAGAATTTGTTTTAAGATGACGTGATAGTATGAAACCATATAGGAAAAAAAATCGACACAAAAGCATAGATGAGAGTTTGTTTCACTTTGTTTTCATAATGGTTTATGAGATTAGTAAATTGGCTCCCGCTCATGCTATCACAGGAAAGGTAAAAACTTCGGTAATTTGTTTATGTTATTGATTTGAATAGTTGCAATTTCAAAGACTTGATAGTTCACGAAAATCCTAGGTTGCAAGGGGTTACTGCACTGGAATAATGCTATTCATCAGTGTTGAATATTGTGCCTTCAATTAACCAAGATCCGGGCTCAGTCTCCAAACCAATCAACACCACAATGCAAACCAAAAGACAAACCAAACACCACCCAAGTAGCACACGGGTTGCTCCACAGGTTATAGCCCACAAAGGACTAGGGTGAGAAGATTACAGCCTAGAAGAAATAGCCACAAAGGCCAGGTAGAGAAAAGGATCTCCCGAGTAAAGCACTAAGCCAAGGCACAAAGCAAAGAAGAGGAAGAATCGGTTTTCTGAAGAATACACGGCTGCTTAACAATCTTTCACTCAACTAAAATAGTAATGGACAACCAAATAAATAGGTTAGGAATATACTTGGGCTTTAGGTCAAATAGACCAAGGCACAAAGCAAAGAAGAGGAAGAATCGATTTTCTTAAGAATACACAGTGCTCAACAATCTTTCACTCAACTAAAACAGTAATGGACAACCAAATAAATAGATTAGGAATAGACATGAGCTTTAGGTCAAATAGTAGGGCCAGATAACAAAGGAGATAATGGGCTAACATCCTTAAAGCCTTCCAAGTACTTGGGTTGGGCCATGAGCAACACTGATATAATTAGGCTGCTTCAAATTGAACAAGTGGGTTACGTGAGATATTTAGACAATCGTGGTGTCGATTCACAACTTCAGTTATCGGCCAAGGCTTATGAAATATAATCCAACAATAAACTGGTTTAACATCATAGCTCGAGATTTATTGGGTATCAAAAACCAACAAATCTCCACCTTGATTCCCAATAAATCCGCAACCAACCAAAACACACAGTTTATACTTGCACAATCAGGTAACCAATAAAATTGGTATCATATACCTTACCTCGTATTTCGGACTCGAAACACATACCATACATGTTTCATGTACTCACTAGGGCTAAGATCAAGAACACCCAGTAGAAGCAAGTAATCACAACAATCAATCAAGAGCAAATAAACATGCAATGAAGATATTATATAGGATAAACACAGATCTTTTCAACCATGTTCACACAGAACAACAGATTAACACCAACTCAATCAACAGGCCAACACATATGCAACAAATGCATAAATGACCTCACGAAGAAGATCTCACCACACTTATCCTATCCCATTCCGTGTTGCTAGCACCTCGAGAACACACATCTCACCTCATCACCCACAATGCTCACTAGACTAATCACTCAAATAATGTCTAACTGGTAAGTCTCTATAGATCCTAAGTTCTCGGGATAATCATCTACCACCACATCACCCAACCTACGTGGATAATTGGTCTCCACCTAATAGAAGTGATACAAGTGCCTCACTCGCAATCTACCTGATCAGGGTCTCTTCCAGATAAAGGATTTCAAATATTTGATCACATCTTCACCGTTATCCAAATGTCACACTCCACATCCCACAGTACAAACCACCAATGTACGCTAAGCATCTATACTCCACTTTACCAAAAGACATACACACACACACTGCAAATGCATCATAACCCCACTATGCATGCAAACAATTACACCAAGTAATAAGATCACTCTAATTCATGCCAATGCACGTATCAAATACATTGAAATGCAACATATAATCACGCAACAGAATTGAGCAATCACACACATGCAGAAAATGATTACACAAAGATGCAAATGCAGTAACTAGGGTAACACTCAATAGGGTTCACTAGGGTCATCACTCAACCCTAAAACCAAATTCATCTCGCCTCTCAACTTACTCTTCTTCTTGAGACAATCCGTAATGAAGTGTCCGACTTACAACAGCTGTAACACCGTCTACCACCAGACTTGTCCCAACTCTTGCTCTTCTTTTTATCACCATCATCACTCGAGTCACTACTCGAATTACCACTATCTTGAACTCTACCCAAACTCATCTACTTAACTTTCATTCTACTCCTCATCATATGCAACTCACCATTTCTCTTATCTTCTTTTTCAGTCTTAATCTCCATATCCTTACTCCTAAAGGAATCTATGACAATCTCAGGAGTTAAGGTGTCGCTACCATACTTAATAGCATTTTTAACTTCGCGATAAGTATCAGGTATAGCATTCAGTAAAATAATAGCCTTATAGGTTTCAGACACCAACTCTCCACAGTTAACAATATCTTGAACAAGTTTGTTAAAAATATTCAGATTGTCATCAAGATCCTTTTAAGAATCCATGTTGGAACTGAAAAAACGTTCAAGTAAGTAAAGCTTATTTTGAGTAGATTTGAGCAAATACAGATCTTCCAATTTTTGCCAAAGTTCTTCGGTGGTTTTCAGTTTACCCATTTTTCTCAAAACTGCATCAGCCAAGTATAAAATGATAGAGGTATAAGCAAGCTCATCAGTCTCTTCGTTTTGTTCTTTTGTAAAACCAGCGAGAAAATTGTCATCAATGGCCTTTGAAACATTTTGTTGAACCAAAATACCTCTCATTTTTTGTTACCAAATAGAAAAATCACATTTTCTATTAAATGTTCCCAAATCAAAATTGCGCGTTGTCATTTTCAAAACAAGAAATAAAAAGTTACAATTAAACCACACAAAGTAGACCTAAGTTCGTAAATATACACCATTTTAGATTCCTAGGATTTCGTAAGATTCACGATCTTAGATCGACAGGAATTTTCAAACGGGAAAAGTCTAGGTATTCTAGCCACTTATCCATGCAACCAGAGAGATATCAACAAAACAATTTCACTCACAATAATCGTAAATATACACCATTTTAGATTCCTAGGATTTCGTAAGATTCACGATCTTAGATCGACAGGAATTTTCAAACGGGAAAAGTCTAGGTATTCTAGCAACTTATTAATGCAACCAGAGAGATATCAACAAAACAATTTCACTCACAATATATCACAAAAGATAATATGCTGTAATTTATCAAAAGAGCAAATTTCAATCACGTGGCAACGAAGAGCAAATAATTCCTAATTTCTAGCACAAGCCATGGTTACTCCTTCACGATAACCATAATCCTAATATCACCCTACATGATGACGCGCAAATTCTGAAATTTAAACGGGATAAGCTAATTTACCAGATGGACTTATCGAGTCCGTAAATTACGAGATGTGCGAATTTACTGCTTTAAAGCTGCAATTTATGGCTTAAAGTAATTCAGTAAATGTTTTGCAGTTTCAACCTCGAACCCACAAAGGGCAAAATCGTCCAAATTTTTCTGCGAAACCTGAAACACAAAACAAAAGATATCAATACGTTCAAAAGATTAAACTTGACAAACTGCCAAAGGAGTCGTCACCAGAATCGCCCGCACGCGCCTCGCCGGAGCTGCTCCATAGGTTATAGCCCACAAAGGACTTGGGTGAGAAGATTACAGCCTAGAAGAAATAGCCACAAAGGCTAGGTAGAGAAAAGGATCTCTAGAGTAAAGCACTAAGCTAAGGCACAAAGCAAAGAAGAGGAATAATCGATTTTCTAAAGAATACACGGTTGCTCAACAATGTTTCACTCAACTAAAACAGTAATGGACAACCAAATTAATAGGTTAGGAATAGACATGGGCTTTAGGTCAAATAGTTGGGCCTGATAACAAAGGGGATAATGGGCTAACATCCTTAAAGCCTTTAAAGTACTTGGGTTGGGCCATGAGCAACACTAATATAATTAGGCTGCTTCAAATTGACCGAGTGGGTTACGTGAGAGATTTAGACAATTGTGGTGTCGATTCTCAAGTTCAGTCATCGGCCGAGGCTTATGAAGTATAATCCAACAATAAACTGGTTTAACTTCATATCTCGGGATTTATTAGATATCAAAATCCAACGATCAACAATGGGATGAACATCAGTTTATGTGCTAATAAGATCACTGTTAGTCAGATTGTAGTGACTTCGATGTCATATAAATTGCTGTTGATCATGCACCATTGCTGATGAACAGACACTCAGATAAATCATCTTTAACAGTACTACCCAACTATACAAGTAGTAAATATGCATTATATTTAACCTCTGAAGAGCATATTCACGTACAATCACACTTGTATACATCATTGGACATATTAACACAGAAAATATTCTAGCAAACTAAGCTGCTCCTTCAAGTACAAACACCAACACAGTTGATACGGAATTATTGGCTCCACAAGTGTGGAAATCAGATTATTTTACAATGTACAGGATACTAAATATTAACTCGGCTATTCTTTATTTGTATGTAACTAGATAGAAATTGTCTACCACCCATTTGTCTCTCCTTGCTGAAGCCGCTGCGCCTCTCTCTGCCGTCCCAGCTCCCTAATCCTAAGTTGCAGCTGAATTGCAGCGGCCAAGAACCTCACATTTTGTGCAGGACTCAGTATTTCCACCACCTCCTGAACTATTCTTATCCTTAATGAATCCGCATCAGTGAGCAAATTCTCCATTTTCGACCTCAATGCATTGGGCATTGCATCCAAATCCCTTATTCCGCCACCGTTCACTACCCTTCTTCCTACCTGCTTTGCCAGCTCTTCCATTGGTGGCGCCGCCACACTTTCTTGAATACTTGCCAACTCCTCAGCCAGTTCCTCCTCTTCCATTTCTGTAACATGCCTCAACATTTGAAGTCTTTGGGTTTGATCCTCAGTCAAATCATTCACAGATCTCATCGCCAGACAAAATGCCAAGTCAGGCCTGAATCCTGCAATCCAAAAGAAGGTTCTTTCCAATGCAGTGAACCAAGGTGGTGAAAACACTAGAAATACATCCCTTTGGATCATACTTGACTTTTCTTGATAATATTCTTGAAAATGAGTCAGAACTCGAGAAATAAGGCCCCTGATTGCATCCTCCGTAGACTCATCATAAGTTTGCGGTGCTCTGAGGAGCTCATCGACAAAATTTTCATGACGCACAATCCAGCCATCAAAGAAGGCCTCGAATGAGCCCGCATTAATGCTGCTATCTCCCATTGAAATTGAGGGCAATTTGAATGAAAAAAATACAAGCAGAAGAAATTGCAATCTGATGCTGTGAGAAATTTATATATAAATATACAAAGTATTATGCGGTTTGCTTAAAGTGAAATGCATATGGTTTATAAGTTGGTGCAGAATCTGTCACATGGATGCATGAATAGGAAGTAGACAAAGCAAAACCAGTGGCGCAGCGGGCATTATGAAAGTTTATATAGTAATACGTGGCTGAGAGAGTCAAGTGACAATGCCCTCCTTATCTTATGAGGAGAAACCGAGGATGTCAAAAAGAGGGGTAGGTAGGGTGGGCTGAATCGGTGGTTTATGTCGGCAAGTGTATCGTTTGGAACTTTGCCGTTTGTACACCGAATTTATACATTTTGGTTGACGTTAGCATTATTGTCAACAAATAGTGGGATTAAAAAATTGTTTAAAATTTTAATTGTCTAATTAAGCCCCCGTTTGGCATCCATTAATTTCTCATTCTCATTCTCATTTTTCATTTCAACCATACATTCTTCAAATAAAATAATATTACACACAAATCAAAAACTTTTCATCACTTTTCCACCACACATTCTCACATCAATCACTATTCCAAAATTTTTATTCTCCTCAAAATTAGATTCAAACGCNAATAAGGCCCCTGATTGCATCCTCCGTAGACTCATCATAAGTTTGCGGTGCTCTGAGGAGCTCATCGACAAAATTTTCATGACGCACAATCCAGCCATCAAAGAAGGCCTCGAATGAGCCCGCATTAATGCTGCTATCTCCCATTGAAATTGAGGGCAATTTGAATGAAAAAAATACAAGCAGAAGAAATTGCAATCTGATGCTGTGAGAAATTTATATATAAATATACAAAGTATTATGCGGTTTGCTTAAAGTGAAATGCATATGGTTTATAAGTTGGTGCAGAATCTGTCACATGGATGCATGAATAGGAAGTAGACAAAGCAAAACCAGTGGCGCAGCGGGCATTATGAAAGTTTATATAGTAATACGTGGCTGAGAGAGTCAAGTGACAATGCCCTCCTTATCTTATGAGGAGAAAACGAGGATGTCAAAAAGAGGGGTAGGTAGGGTGGGCTGAATCGGTGGTTTATGTCGGCAAGTGTATCGTTTGGAACTTTGCCGTTTGTACACCGAATTTATACATTTTGGTTGACGTTAGCATTATTGTCAACAAATAGTGGGATTAAAAAATTGTTTAAAATTTTAATTGTCTAATTAAGCCCCCGTTTGGCATCCATTAATTTCTCATTCTCATTCTCATTTTTCATTTCAACCATACATTCTTCAAATAAAATAATATTACACACAAATCAAAAACTTTTCATCACTTTTCCACCACACATTCTCACATCAATCACTATTCCAAAATTTTTATTCTCCTCAAAATTAGATTCAAACGCACCCTAATAAGTAATGTCACGTGACAAAATATACACCAACGTGTAAATGTAGCAACGTTCGTTTGTCTGTTTGTTCCATAAAGATTAACGGAATGAATTACATAATGTCACATGACAATCAATAATTTCTCAATATAAAACACAATAAACTTTTTCATCTATTTTTTTTCCTCCACATCATTTTAGCCCTGTTTGACAATCATTATTTTTAATTTTTTTTTTTTTNTTGTGTGCACCTCCCCTAATTCCACGGGGCTCTGAAGTTTACGACCGGATATTCACCTCAATAACCCTGAAGAGACTCGAACTGGTGATCATTGGGGAGCAAACCCAAAGTCTGACCAATTGAACAACCCCTCAGGATTAAAAAATTTATACATGAATCCAAAAAAAAAAAATCTATTTTTTAACCACACATTCTCTTAAAAATCAATATTCAAAACATGATTTTTCATACTTAATAGTTGTCAAATAGGAGCTTTATGTAATTCCTTATATTCCCTTTTTTATGTACAAATAATATAATCCAACATTTTCCATGTGAAAAGTTTAAACTAGTAGTGTGTTTGGTAGTGATTTTTGAGGGAAAAATTGATTTTTGAATAGTGATATGATAAGAAATGTATAGTTGAAAAAGAAGAAAAAAAGTATTGATGTGATGAAAAATATTATTTTATTGAAAAATGTGTGATTGAAAATGAGAATTGATTTACTGTAGAAAATGAGAATCTGTACCAAACAGGCCATAGATGAGTTAAATCCTTTAATTACTTTTCATGGTGCCCAAGAAAAGAATCACCACTATTAAAAATTATATCATCAGTCGATTTTAATAAAAGTTAATAGAAGATATAATTAAAAAAATTGATAAAATTATAATTATATAAAATGTGTGATAAAAATTAATTTTTAACACTAATTTAAATTTTTGTCAATTTATTTAGCTAAATCGAACAAGGGTCATGACAATTTTTTATCAATTTATTTAGAAGTTGTCTGGTGTCTGGTATAAATTTTTAGCACAAATTCTACCATTGAGCCGCAAATATTCACCTTAGTTGTGAGATGTGGGCCCCTCAAATTTGAGTAAAAAGGGTACAAAAATTGATTATAAGGTGAAAAAAATATTTAACAGACAGACTCTTAGCTATAGTTTTCTGGGCATTTCAATACATCCATCTTAACCTATCTGGGAAACATTAATTCACAAATTTAATTAGAACTTGTTTGGGAAAAATTTTTGAAAGAAAAATTGATTTTTGAATAATAATATGATGAGAAATATGTGATTAGAAAAAAAAATTATTAATGTAATGAAAAATATTATTTTATTAAAAAATTTGTGATTAAAAATAAAAATTTATTTACTTTAGAATTTAAAAATCTCTCCCAAACATTCCCTCAGATATGGAACGAATTTTCTGAAGAACTGACTAGTTGTACAATTGAGGTTGCCAACCTCTGTTGACTACCACTCACATGAAAGAAATCCACTTTATTTATGAATTTTTTAAACATACAAACCCCACACACATACAAGTAATTGTCAACCTTAATTGTACAAATACAATTTTCCTTTTTTGAATCATTATCTCATTGGTCATTTAACTTCAAATGATAATCAAATTATCACTCAATAACTCACCGCTTGAAAATTCGACAAAATCAAACAAACCAATAAGGCAAACATTATTGTCATTAATTGGCCAAGTTTCAATAACTCTCGACTTATTCAAAAGAAAATAAATTATAAAAAAATTAAATAGTAATTTTAATCTAAAAGATAGAACACTGAAAATTCTAAAAAATAAAGCTCAATTTCAATTGCACAGATTATAATTTCATCTCTTTGAATTAAAACGGCTGATGTTACATTCATTTAAACTTAATACCAAAAACTAACCTAAATACCACATTCAAATCCCAAACCGATACAGATCTAACCACCAAATCCATAGAGGGTTCGGCCCTGCCTCTTGAGTGCATATACAACATCCATTGCGGTAACAGTCTTACGGCGGGCATGCTCAGTGTAGGTAACAGCATCACGGATTACATTTTCAAGGAAAATCTTGAGCACTCCACGGGTCTCCTCATAAATTAGTCCACTGATGCGCTTAACTCCACCTCTACGAGCCAAGCGGCGAATTGCCGGCTTAGTTATTCCCTGAATGTTATCCCTCAGAACCTTGCGGTGGCGCTTTGCGCCGCCCTTTCCCAAACCTTTGCCGCCCTTACCTCTTCCTGACATTTCTCTTTCTGTGTATCCACAAATAAAATTGTTGAAATTTGAGATGAAAATATGCACGGTTGAAGATGAGTAGTGAGTTCACATATATATTTGGGGAATCGGGAGTGGGAAGGTTGGACAGCTGTTGGATTTGAATTATTAATCCACGGTATAAGATTGTTATCCGCGTTAAGTTTGTTTAGGGGATTTTAAACCATTGATAAGAAATGAATCGACGGTGTACTATATGATGTTTACGGATACTGCGGATCATGTGCCATATCCATTCGTTTCAATTTTAGAGGTTCGCGCTCAATATTTCCCTTTCCTACCTTCCGAGTTTCTAAAGATTATTTCGGGTGTGCTTAGACCTCATTTTTTGAATGAGTTTTATATAAGTGATTTTTTTTAAAGAATGTAAAAAGTTAAAAAAATTGAATTTATATATATAATTATTTTAAAAAATGAGTTTTATATAAGTGATTTTTTTTAAAGAATGTAAAAAGTAAAAAAAATTGAATTTATATATATAATTATTTTATTAAAATAATTTATTATTGAAAATGAATTTGAAGAAAAATAAGTTTTTATTGGGGCTCAAACATGGGATTCATTTATATTCTCGATTTGATTTAGCCCATGTTTGATCCACATTATTTTTTTCATTCTCATTTTCAACCACATATTTTTTAATAAAATAATATTTTTCATCATATCAATAACTTTTCCTTCATTTTCAACCACATATTCCCTATTATATCACTTTAAAAAAATGCATTCTTTCATTTTAATGTACACCAAACAGACTCTTAGTTAAAAATTTTATTTTTAATAGATTTTGATAAAAATAAATGAAATATGATTTTAAATATTTTATAAAATTTGTGGGGTTCATGATGTAGTTGAAAATAGATTTAAGGAAAAATAAGTTATCATCTACTCTGGCTCTGCCATCTTTAACTTGCACAAAATCATGCATCATTTTACACCAAATCTTATATCAAAGTGAAAATCAATTCCAATCAATTACACCAAAAGTTGCACAAAATGAATAGTGTTTAATAATTTTCTTCATTTTTTAAATTCCTAACAATTTATTTATCTCAAAATTTATTTATTTATTTTATTACTAGATAAATTATTGAATAAATAATTACGTTTAGTTAAAAAAAATATTGAATTCATTAATAAATTTAAAAGTGTAGTACAATTAAGAAAATAAAACACTAAAAAAATATTAATCATAATATTAAAAAAGAGTGTAATAGGTTTTGAATCGCAATATCATGATATTACAAAACTGAAATAATATTCATAATTAATTATTTTTGATTAAATGATTCAAATTTATTACAAATGCACATAATAATAATATAATTAAATTCAGAATTATAATTTATTGTATAACAAAATGGACAAATATACCTTAACAAAAATTAGTGCAAAATGGAAGAAAAGGGTAAAAAAGTATTTAACCATTTTGGTGTAAAATGGTGCAAATGAATAGTGTTGCACTTGGAGGAGATTTGCACCAAAATTTTGGTACAATTTGGTGAATTATGGTGCAATAAGGATGGGTTGAAGATGCTCCTATATTCTCAACTCTTTTCAACACAATTATCTTCTACCTTTCATTAGTTAGAAGTCGGTACATCTTTCAAAGAGTGCATTTGAATTATTTTTCCATCATTTTAAAAAAAGAATAAATGCAGAAGGCTACAACGTATTTTTCCTAAATTCAAAGCATACAAACAGGGTAGGACAAAACTCTCGAATCGAATCGGATTCGAATCGAACTGAACCAAGCAATTTTTCTTAAGTTAAATACTCGAACGGATATCTAAATCAAGAATTGACGGATTTTGTTAGGTTCTCGATTCTAGACCAAAAATCGAAAAATTGAATAAGAATTGAATCTCCCTAATTTTTAATCTTAAATAAACCAAATTATTTTATTTTTTTGTAAATAATTTTGTTTATTAATTAATTTAGTCCAAACTCAAAATATGATTTTCCTATTTTTAATGAATCATGCTATAGGTACAGGAAAATTATACAGAATTCATACAGGAATTTGAGATGGAGGGTTTACATTCAAAATTGGAATAGGGAAAACAGTGATGAATATGATTAAACCATTTCAAATTCCTGTCAACAATATGTAGAAATTTCATGTACTTGTGGAATAATTCATTTTTAAATGCCCTAAATTATATCTAAATCTCTTATTAAACCGTAATGCCTTTTGTCGTCATGGAGAAATCGAATTGGAAGCTCGGTTACACATCTCTTCATTATTGTGAACTCTCTATCTTCCTCTTCCTATTATTCTAACAGTCAAATTTCTGATAAATTTAACAAAAAGAAGCGCAAAAGATATCACGAGATTGAACTAAATTATTTTGTAAGAGTCAAAATTGAATATGTCAGTAGTTGAATTAACATAGTGTTATTGTAAATATTTAAAAAAATAATTATTGTACGGAACCTAATAACTGAATTGAATCGAACCCAAGCGGTTACATAATTAAAATTGGACCCGTTCCACTTACTAAATATCTGAAAAATTCGAGTTCAATTGAGTTCTCTTCATAAAATAATCGAATAGGACCATGTCCAATCTTAATACAAACAGAATATTTTGAAATAAATATTCTTCAAGGGTTAGATATATTGATTAATTTAGTCCATGTATGGTAGAAATTAAAATCCATATTTTAATTTAAGTCAAGTAAATAACCAATTATAATAACACAATTATAAAACGTTGAAGACCCTTGGAAGAATTTACCCATTTATAATTTATCATTCATCGTTCAAGAGGAAGAACTTCTTTAGACTTTAGATGCAAAGTTATAATATTTATAAAGTGAACAAGATTTATATCATAGAAACTTTTGAAATTTTATTACATGCCCAACAAAGTAACACCATAGTAGTGGCTTAGATGCAAAGTTATAATATTTATGAAGTGAACAAGATTTATATCATACAAACTTTTGAAATTTTATTACATGCCCAACAAAGTAATACCATAGTAGTGGCTTCAGAGCACATCCAAGGTGCCCATCCAATTTTTGTGAATGCTCGAAGAATTGAATAAAATTGCAAAGGTGTATCTTCGGCGGTGACATTAGAAATATCAGAATGTTGGCCGAAAGGTTTAATTCATCACCAAACGGCCACGAGTTGAAGAAAATTTTACTTCTTTAATTTTAAGTCGAAGTCTCCAGCAATGTAATGATATGTCGATACCAATGCATGTTAATGGTTGTTAGGACCCGCCAAACTCCACATTAGTATGATATTGTTCGCTTTGGGCATGGCCCCTCACAAATTTGCTTTTGGATACTATCCAAAATGCCTCATACCAATGGAGTATTGTCCTACATTTACAAACTCATCATATTTTTCATGTCTAACCGATGTGGGACTTCTTTTACTCCTAACAAACCTCCCCTCAAATTAAAGACCACATCATTGTGGCCTCTCCTGAAACGATAATCCATCAGCTAATCACACACATGCAGAAACGACCAATCACATACATGCAGAAAGGATTACACACGGATGCAAATGCAGTAACTAGGTCTACATTCAATAAACCTCACTAGGGTCATCACTCGACCTTAGTTCCAAATTCGTATCGCCTCTCAACTTACCCTTCTTCTTGGGACAATCTCTAATGAAGTGTCCAGACTTACCACAACTGTAATACCGTCTATCACGAGGTTTGTCCCATCCCTTGCTCTTCTTCTTACCACCCTTATCACTCGAGTCACTACTGTCTTAAGCTCTACCCAAACTCATATGCTTAAATTTCATTCTACTCCTCATCATATGCAGCTCACCATTTCTCTTAGCTTCTTTTTCAACTTTAATCTCCATCTCTTTACTCTTAAGGGAGTCTATGACAATTTCGGGGGTTAAGGTGTTCCTAACATAATTAATCATATTCTTAACCTCTCTATATGAATCAGGTATAGAATAAGCAAAATGATAACCTTATAGGTTTCAAACACCTTCTCATTGGTATGATATTGTCCACTTTGGGTCAAACCCTCATGGATTTGCTTTTGGGCTTTATCCCAAAAGGCCTCATACCAATTGAGTATTGTCCTACACTTATAAACTCATCATATGTTCCATGTCCAGACGATGTGAGACTTATTTTACTCCCAACAATCATCTCCTCAAACAAAGGGCCACATCATTGTGGCCTCCCCTCAAACGATAATCCATCAGCCAATCATCTTGTATCGCTATTATTGTAGTCGTCCTCGACCAAACGGGACCCGTCGCTTGACCACCATATTTTTATGTCAGGAAGACTTTCGATACAAGGCACCTCAAACGCTGATGATTTATATAGTCGACGCAAAGCTAATTAAGGGGAACCTCCACCACGCTTTTCGTTGCGTTCCTCCGGCTAAGTGTTTGGGCCCGGGCTCTAATACCATTTGTTAGGACCCGCCAAACTCCACATTGGTATGATATTGTTCGCTTTGGGTCTGGGCACTCACGAATTTGCTTTTGGATACTACCCAAAAGGCCTCATACCAATAGAGTATTGTCCTACACTTATAAATCCATATTATTTCCCATGTCTAGCCGATGTGGGACTTCTTTTACTCCCAACAAAGGTGTAGAGCAATGCCACGATGTTGTGGTATCATTGCAAAGTCAAAGTATTCACCGAATTCCAATTATAAAGAACACAAGAGCTTTATGTTTGAAGGTGAAAAATACATGGAAGTTTCGTTTGACAAAAAAGATTGTCGAGATGCTTGGTTCCGGGCAACTATTCTCAAAAAATTATCTGTGTCTACCCTTCTAAGATAAAAGGTGTTTTCAAGGGAATGAATGATATGAGTTTCTACATTTCAAGAAAATCATTTTTTGCATTTTTATAAGGATCTTATTATATGTACATCAAGATTTACATAAGAGATTACATAATGTTACATAACACTCTACCATTAGCCATTTTAAAACACAATCACCTTTTTCATCCAATTTTT